CATCTCTACTGTACTCAACGGTGTTGTGTGTCTGATATATAGGAGATTTGGGAACAGTATTTGGGATCGTATTGGAATATCTGAATTTGGACGTTGATAGGATTTGAGTAGCTACTTAGCAGCTTTATAACATTCGTTAAGATTCGTTTTATACGATATACATGAACTATATGTTGATGATATGCCTTTATACTTTATCATGACTCTTTGCACAACTTCGAACCGAAACAGCCTGGACATATACGTCATTTTTAGTTGATTAAGCGCAATAAAATCGCATTCGTGAGTTAAAGAATTCTGTCAAATAATAAGTTAATGGTCTACATCTAGTAGCTAATTAGTATAGTGTGGTAAGTTATGAAGGACAAAATAGAACTATAGTAGATTAAATTTCAACTTACTTAGGAGTAATATAAGACAAATCATCTGTATCTTGTATAGAACTATTAGTCGGTAACATCATGAAAGTGAAATAACCAGCTAGGATTGCAGTGACATAACCAAAAATAATTAAAATTCCCTCTAAACGAATCCATCGACTTAAACGTGAAGAAAAACTGCCTACAATAATCAATGATGTAAAATAAAATTAATGCAGATTTTTATTACTATTTCAAAACACAACAACAATAAACTGAATGTATGTATGTATTTCAAACAAATTATTGATCGCGCACATATAGAGTAGACATCCAAGATTTCCAAGTCAAATTTATTTCTGAAACATGATAAGGTGAAGTTCTGGTTCATAATGAAGTCATGCACAACCAAATACCTTCAAAGGTAAGTTCAAGTTACCTAATGAACAGAGCCCCGAAAATGCTCCAGCTTGGCTGAGGCTGCCTCGTATTAGTTTAATATGATCAATATTGTTTGGTTCACTATGATGCTTAGTGCAAACACCTATAACTATTTTGCGATTGTACTGCGACCAAGCATAAATCAATCTTTCACTTGAAGATAACTCTTGTCTTTACGTTTTCCAGATCACACTTACGCCTTTTTGCTTACGCAATGATATCCTTCCGTTCAATCAATATGTTGTAAGCAGTAAGTCAGTCAGTTACAACGTAGAACTTCGTACGTACGTACATCACTTCAAGTTGTCATACCATATAAGCACATACACGCAATTGTTACTTCAAATCCCATGGTAGTTAAGGTACTAGAAGTATTAGCAGTAATCAAAAAGATTGATGATTGAATTTATCATTCGAGGAATCAATTAAAAAAATAGAAACAAAAACGGTGAAGAGGAATTCAGAAGACTAGAATTTCAGAGAACACAAAGAATGGATGCACCTGCGCCCTTGCAGACAGTTTTGGGCTATGTCGTTCAGGGTCGGATCTCAACAAGGTAGCCTGCATCTGCCAACATGGCTCACTCCACTTGTCAGTGACTTCATGGTTTCTGGCATGTTTTGCTTAAGCCAACCCTAGCTTTCTTCCGAATCTACTCCTACACCACAAACCATAGATCGTCGAGGCAGTCAGTGGATAGGCATGTCCGACCACCTCAACTGATGAAGTTCAACTACTTCATCTACTGACCTGCCATCCTTACCTGATACTCGTTTCCTAACAACAACATTGCTTACTCGATTGTCCTAGGATATACCAGCAATGATTCGGAGACACCTATGATCGAAGACAAGCAATCTACGAATATCCTCAACTCTAACCGGCCATGTTTCACAGCCCTAAAGTAGAACAGAGCGAATTGCTGCGCAGTAGACTTGTCCTTTGCTTCGCAGGCGCGTATCTTGCCTACGCCATAGGTCACGCAAGTTGGCAGAAGCCAATCGAGCTTTCTGTATCCGTGAAGCGATTTCGCCAATTACCAGACCATCAGCACAGATGAGAGTCCTCAGATAAGTGAAGTCATCAACATGCTCAACTACTTCACTCCCTATCTATCACTAGTTCATGTGTCAATACAAGCCAATCTTGAAGCAACAGTATGCATTTCGACGGCGAGAATCGCATCCCGAACATGCTTGCATTGTTGCTTAGGGTAGTCAGAAGACTGCAGATTCATGACGAGAACTAATCATGTGAAACAAGATAATATGTAGAGACTTGAATTGTAATGAATAATAATTACATACCGGCAATTTCTCCAATTCCAATGAATAGACCAGCTAATCCAATATAAGATTTTGCATTTTTACCAAAATGTAAACAATGTCCTAATGCAGAAGCATATAGACTTGAATAGAATGTCAAATTAATGCCTGAAAAAGAATTTCAAAACATGGAACAATAAATAACAAAGTGAAAATTTGTTCATTGCAAAATATTAAGGAAGGAAGCATCTTTTAATTCCCTTTTTGAACATTGACTGTGGAAATTTGACAGAGTACATGTTCAAAGGAATATTGGTCGGTGGCTAACTTTTAGTTGTAAATACTATCAAGTTGATGACAGAAAAGTAATGGTTTACTACGGAAGTTGACGTATGGGGAAGTTTTTCATAAAACTATACTTCTACTTCTTCTATACTCTACAACTCTAACCCTTAGCCTTACTTTTATGCAGTGAATGATTGAAGAATATTCACTATTCAGTAGGGCATGCGTAACCCTGTTAGTTGTGTCAAACCGAAGCTTTTCAGGTTTCATGGCGGATATGTCACAGTATAATGACTGGATCAGACACACAAACACTCTACATGTTCAACTTGAATGTTACCTACACTGTGTTTGGTGCCATCAGGATAACTTACCCACATATGGTTGAAAGTCATCTGTTTTGATCGTGAAGTTCTAGAATACGTGGCCAGAACAAAACACACACACACCTAATGTTAAATATTTTTCATCATTTTTATTTGATAGTTAACCCATTGACTAACAAATTTTATTGTAAAAATTAACACTTGATAATATTTTCATTAGTCAACTGGTGGACAATAACGAATTGATTAGTTTTATTGATAAGCGCGCAAAAGTCGATAGTTGGACAAGAAATGCATGTAATCAATAAAAGCACTTTATTTATAAAGCCCATTAATCTGAATTCTTTCAACTAATAATGATGCTTTATGTAGCTTGATTTAACTACTTGACAGGATGTTTTGAAGTCTACTTTAACGTGAATATTATATGAATATGATTATTTATAGGTTACTGGTTTTCGATCACAAGAGTCTCAGAAGCATCGCTCGTTTATCTTGGGACTCTCAAGTAAGCAATGCCGTTGTTAGGAAACGGGTACTAGGATAGGAGAGTGGATCAATAGATGAAGTAGTGAATCTTCAGCAATTGAGGTGGAATGCCCAACTACCGACTGCCTCGACGCGCTATGTTGTCTGGTGTAGGAATAGGTTGGAAGGAAGCTAGGGGCGGCCAAACCAAAACATGGCACAAATCCATGAAGTCACTGACAAGTGTGCTGAGTCGTGTTGGTAAGTGTAGACTACCAGATTAGGGTCCGAGAGACGATAGTAACTGATGATTATCAACCTTGAATGACATGGCTCAAAACCGTATGCAGTGGCGCAGGTCATTTAATCTTTAAGTTCTCTCAAATCCTAACCTTCGGAGTTCCTCATCGCCTTTGTCGTTTTGTTTTTAAGTTTATTTCACTAGATTCTATTTCTTGAATAATATCGTCGAACCGTAAGCTCTCCGATTACTGATAATACTTCTAATACCTCTACTACCATGTAATTTGAATTGACAACAGCATCTCTCTGCCGATGTGATATGGCAACTTGAAATGATGTTCACAGTTCAAGTTGCCATACCAAGTTAGCACACAGAGATGGATTTATCAGCTCAAACCCCATATTAGTAGAGGTAGTAGCATGATTATTGGAAATGGAAAAGATTAGGGATCGAAGATATGAATATAAGAAATAGACCTTGAGGAAAAAAGGCCATGAAGAATTCAGAAGCTTAGTATTTGGGGGAAGACAAAGAATGGGTGCCTCTGCACCAATGCAAACAATTTTGAGCCATGTCATTTAAGGTCTATAACCATCGGTTACTATTGTCTCGCGGACCCTTCCTTCACCTACCTACATGACTGAATCTAGCTGTCAGTGACTTAGCTTTCTTCCAGCCTACCCATACACCAAACAACATAGCACGTTGAGGCAGTCAGTGGTTGGGCATATTACCTCGACTGATGAAGATTCACTACTTGATCTACTGACCTGCCATCCTTACCTCTAGTATCCGTTTCCTAACAACAGCATCGCTTACTCGGTGGTCCCATGATACACGAGTAATGCTTATAAGACTAGTAACCTACGAATATCTACAAGGCTGTTTTCTAGAATATAAGATTGAATTATTTCCATCATTGAAAAATTCTACTAGACAGTACTTATAAAGACTGGGATTTTTGATCACACATAATAAATGTTGAATATCGAATTCGCATAGAGATTTCAATTCAGCAATTGTGTAACTCTTAAAAAATCTTCAAATCAGAGGGATAATGTTCATTTAAAAGAAGAAAACTTCAAACAAACACAGAATTTTCGGTAGTTGTGTTCAATATGAATATGAACGATTAAAACAAAAAACGGACTAAGGCCTAAATTCCAAACATTAAACAAATAGGAAAGTGAGTACATAATCAGTTATGAGTGGAAAAACTTAATTAACAAACCAGTTATTCAGTTTAATCCAACTTACCAGTAAATGCTGCTGCCACAAGTATACAAATCATTGGTTTTGTCATTAGGATACTAACTGATCGACCTGGAATAACACAGACATGTGTATATAGAGTAAGTGGAGGAGGAGGTTAAAAAAATAGTAATTTAAATTAGAATATGAAAATGAATATGAAAAATGTAGTAGATTTTTAACAATCGAAAATAGATATGCGAGGACTAACTTGATATATATGAGAAATTAGATGAACTATGAGCAGTGTTAAGTTATTATTTCAAAATATAGGATCATTCTATAATGATCGTTTGTTCAAGAAATTACTGATCATTGTGAAGCAAAACACTGACAATTTGGAAACATGTATAGATAGTTATTGTGTTGTGTCCTAATACCAATCAATACGCAAACGCGACTTTTAATCCTCTTCAACAAGATTTGAAATGGGGAACAAGTACCATCAGACTGAAAAGAAGGATACCTGATCAATATACCAAAGAAAGACAATCTCAGCAAGTGTGAGAACTACAGAGGCGTCGCTCTTCTCTCAATACCAGGCAAAGTCTTCAACAGAATATTGTTAAACAGAATGAACGAATTCGTAGACGTCCAACTTCGAGATCAACAGGCCGGATTTCGTAGGGATCGACTGTGTACTGACCAAGTTGCAACATTACAGATCGTTGTGGAACAATCAATTGGATGGAACTCACCACTCTACATCAACTTCATTGACTACAAGAAAGCATTCGATAGCGTGGACAGGACAACACTGTAGAGGCTTCTTCGGCACTTTGGAGTGCCTGAGATAGTCAACATAATTCGGCATTCTTATGATGGATTAAACTGCAGAATCGTGCACGGAGGACAGCTCACAGATTCGTTCGAGGCAAGGTTGCTTACTGTCACCCTTTCTCATTCTCCTGGTGATCGACTGGATTATGAAAACGTCAACATCTGGAGGAAAGCACGGTATCGACTGAACAGTTAGGACGCAGCTGGACGATCTAGACTTCTTAGATCACCTGGCTCTTCTATCGCACACGCAACAACAAATGCAAGAGAAGACGACTAGTGTAACAGCAGCCTCTGTCTGCAGCAGTAGGTATCAACATACATAAAGGGAAAAGTAAGATTCTACGATACAACACAACGTGCGCTACATAAATGTAAAATACTTAGGATCCGTTAACATGGCCGTTAAGAGTAGAAGATGTTCGTAGGTTACTAGTATTCGATCATAGATGTCTTAGAAGCATTGCTCGTATATCCTGGGACAACCGAGTAAGCAATGCTGTCGTTAGGAAACGAGTACTAGGTAAGGATGGCAGATCAATCGATGAAGTGGTGAAACTTCATCAGTTGAGGTGGTTGGGACATGTGTTACGTATGCCTAACCACCGACTGCCTCGACGAGCTATGTTTTGTGGTGTAGGAGTAGGTTGGAAGGAAGCTAGGGGCGGCCAGACTAAAACATGGCAGAAATCCATGAAGTCACTGACAAGTGGACTGAGTCATGTTGGTAGATGTGGTCTACCTGGTTGGGGTCCGCGAGACGAAAGTCATCAATGGTTAGAGACCTTGAATGACATGGCTCAAAATCGTTTGCAATGGCGCAGGTGCATCCACTCTTTGAGCTCTCTCAAATCCTAATCTTCTGGATTAGCCAGCACCTATGCCTTTGTCTTTCTAACCTTATCTCACTGAATTATACTTCTTGAATAATATCTTAAACCCTAGTCTTCTTTATTATAACATTAATACCTCTACTATCTTTATCACTATGAGATTTCATTTGACATTTGCGTCTCTGTGCTAATGTGGTATGGCAACATGAACTTATGTACATACGTACGAATTTCTGCGTCGCAACTGACTGACTGACTGACTTAAGATCCGTTAACCAGATATCATCAGGAACAACCTACTATGGGAGAGAACAATCCAGATTCCAGTGGAGGAGGAAATCAGGAAGAAGTGGTGGAAGTGGATAGGACACACACTGAGTAAAGCACCCACCTGCGTCACAAGACAGGCCCTCACTTGGAACCCTCAAGGTACAAGGAAAAGAGTAAGGACAAATAATACATTATTCCGACAATTAGAGAAACATATGAGAAGAATGAACAAAAGTTGGAAAGAACTGGAAAGGGAAAGCCAGGACAGAGTAGGTTGGCGAAAACTGGTCGGCGGCCTATGCTTTATTGGGTGTAACAGGCGTAAGTATTAAACTTTTAAATTAATAAGTTTTATACAACAGAATAAAGCGAACAAGTTACACAACTAAATCATGTTGATATCGAATAAAAAAACTTACGTAATGTGTGTAAAACCGATTGAAAAACTGTTGAACGATTTTGTATTCTGTGAATGAGGAGAGATTTAAAAATGTGGACTTTTAACACTTATTGAGACTATATTTCAGTTGCACATTGAAAAAAAGACAGTTACGATAATAATAATAATAATAATCTATTTTATGAGGTTTTAGTAAGTACACTTAACAAGGCCGTGTGTAGCCTAGTATTGAAAACTCATCAGAGGATAAATACGTTTATTTTACTGTGTGAATTAATTCAAAAGAGTTAAAAAATAATAATAAAAACTGATCACATATGTTAAGCTTTGAACATCGGATGATAATTAATATTAATGAAATAAAAAATATGCTTGAAAAATACAGTTTTAGCAAGACTAAAACTTGTCCTTTGGAATTCACTACCAGTCTTGCAACACATATTATTATGCTGTCGAAAATACGAAGTCTAGTTCCCAGAATGATTTGAATGTAAACATGTACTCCAAAATGAGATGCAGTCTTCTATTGATCCTCTTTATTGGTGGCTGAAAGCGATGTGGTCGAGTCCAGCGATTGGTCGATTTTGAGGGTCGCCAGGCCAAAAGATGTTTTCCTTGTGCTTATAGGTAGTATTTGCTAAAAATAGGCAGTTATCTGAGCATAGTTGCAGCAGACGGTCGCTACTATCTGTTCTCTGAGCCGTGACACCGCAAGATCCACCCAGGTGTCTTTCCGTTTCGTCTAATCTAGCTATTTGAGCATTAAAATCACCAGGTATTGTTATTATTATTATTATTATATCATAGTGCTTGACGTTTTGAAGAAGTTTGGAAGGTTTTCTGTAAAGTTCATCAATTACTACATCCAAGCTGCAATCAGTGGGAGAGTAAAGAGAGAGACAACAAACTGGCAACGGTGAATGTCCTTGTCTTTCCGAATCCTTACTGTTCCATTCAGTCAGATAGCACATAAGTGATTATGTACTGGGATCCAATCTAAGACAGCTAGTTTCGCTTAAGAACTTGATGCTATACCTACATTAGCGCGGCTGCGGAGAGCAGTAATGCGGCTTCCAGATACACGAAGCGTAAATCAAGACGGTGCTTTACCATAACAAGGTGAGGTCAAATGAGTCACTGTACTCGGGTTCAATATGCGCGTTTCGGAGACGCAACACACATGGATACGCGAGATTTTTAAGTCCTAGACAAGGAAGCTTGTTGTCCAGTTTGGCACAACGTTCGAACATTAAAAGCTTCAATATGTAGTTCAGAACGGAGTTTCAAGAGACCAGCAATAGCGTTTTGTGTAGTCGAATCGTTTGCATTAGCGGCACGGGGGATAAAGGAATATGGGAAAGGGTGGTAATACAAATAAGATAATTAATAAGAGGTGTAGGAAGGATATGATTGTGACCCATTTGCTCTCATGTGCTGTTACGGGTATGAGGGCGGATGTCGCTTGCCGGCTGCCCACACAGTGTAAGGGAAATTTTACTATCAATCTGTCTCGTTAATGTTTGAAAAATGAATTCAATTTTCTCAGTTAAGTAGCATATTACTGGATAAGGAAATATCAAAAGTTTCTTGTTTACATTAATGGTTTTCACATTGAGAAAAAAGGGTAAAAACACAAAAGACATCTATTTCATTGAATTAGATTCATGAACAAATCTAGGCTACACCATCACTCAAAACCTGGAAGGACTGGACAACCATTCCGTTCTAGTATGTGAATCTTCAGCGGTGCGCATCCACGACCTCTGTAGTAGGAATAGAATCTGGAGCCTGCAGCCTCACGCAGGACTGACTCCCGCCTGCGGAGTCGTGGATGCACACAGCTGAATTCCGTACTAGGACGGAACAACCGTTCAGTGCTTCCAGGTTTTCAACGGTGGTCTAGACTAGGTCTGTTTATGATTGCAATGAAATTCAACAATATCTACTGCTCCTTACTAACTTATTCTACTGTTGTTAGTAAATTATAAATTGCCTTTATTGAAAAAACTATCATAAATGCGTATACATACTACCATATATTGGATGAAATCCTGGCTATATAACTAAACGTAATATTATCGCATTGGGTTGTTTCACAGTACACATGATTCCTCAATAATTAAAATTAGTTAAGTTGCGTCAAAATTTTCACTTACGTTGGAAAATTTGCAGATGATTCATTTACGCTTTCATCGAGGGAATTTACCTCCACATCAATTAACAGCTGGTGCGAAATGCTATCCGTTTGATGAGGCTTTTTGAGCATGAACAATAATAAAATTCCCAAAATAGCACAGCCTAGTAATCCGCCATAAAGCTGAATACGCAAAGTGCGAGAGATTTCATCTATATTCGATAGTGATAGGTAGGCGTATAGACCACCAACTATTTGACTATTTTTAAAAAATGTTTATATTGAAGAAATGTATATGGGTGAGGTTATGACTTTTATCAAATAACAGAACAAAATAATCATTCAAGTATGCTTGCAAAATGAGCAAATTTTAATTTTAATTGAAAAGAACCGGAGTCGCTGAGAACTAAGGTGCATAGACCAACCGTTGAATGTTATTGAGATTTAGTAGTACGAGAATCACGGGTCGAATCTCATCAAGAGCATCATAGCAGTAATGACTAGTGGTTCACATTCATCATATTTAAAACTTTTAAACTCAATATACTTTTCCCACTGAATGAATGATTACACTGATGTGTAATATCGAGGGAATAACCAATGAGAAGGATATGTATAAAGGCATTTCAGAGAGGATGGGGTACAAAAACCAATTCACGTATAGTGAAAGCCCGAGAGGTTCGTATCAATTCACTTCATATTTGGTACGGTCGTGATGATAGGATGGCAGTAAAAAGTCGGATTTAAAACGTGTCGATGGAGGTAGTCTTACTCTATGCTTCTGTAAGCTGGTATCTTCAAGTTGAGGATGTGGGACGACTTCATGTGTCCAACACAATAACACAGAATTTTAAGATTCGCCTGTCTTACAAAAAAGGAATAACTACAAAAATATATAAAAACACTTACTTAGCCTGAAATAATCCCCAGAACAGGCTAAAATGCTGGTTTAAATTAGATTTGGTAGAACAATTGGTAATGAACACACCTTGAGCAGTCCATAACACTAAGTAGAGGAACCAAACAGACCATTCAATGAATAATTCCAAATCAAAATCATACCTGCTGCACCAATTCCATTTACAAATGATGCCAAATACAAGCTCCATACAACGGGTTCGATATAAGAAGCAATGTACACACTAGGAAATTACATCATCTTTAAAAACCTACGCATAACAGAATGAACCAGCAATCATAGAATATTTTTCTCCAAGATACATCACAACAATTGGAGCAAACCAATTGAATAAGCCGAATGAGATATAAACAATCGCTAGGCTGCAACAATAAGTGTACATAATCTATCATTTACCTAGTATAACCCGCGCCATCAAAACTGCCGTTACGATCTTTTGAAACAGCTTCTAAAACATTTTGCTTTAAGAAAAATGGAGTTAATTTACACCCACTGATAAAAAACTTACTGCAGTTAAGGATGCTGTTTGAAATGCAGCAAAAAGAAAGAAAAACGCCAACCCAGTAATAATTACATTATAAACATTCACATTAATATTCATGTTAATGGTAACCAAGTTTCACTGAGACTCGTGTCACGAAGTGAGTCAGAGATAATTTACTATAAAACAAAAACAAAAAATGATTTATTTGCTACATAAATAGTTCTGTGATGACTACACGTGCCGATATGTTGTAGTTTTACAGAAACTTCTCATTGATACAGATCACAAATATATTTCAAAACGATTTGCGAGGCTGTGATTACTAACTTGAAAACAGAAACAGTGGTACAAAAGGCCACCTAAATATTTATGTGACGCACAAATTATTGAACTGTAATAGATCTTAATGACCTAAAATATCCGGTTTATATGAACGGGTTCTGCTTATCCAATCCATTAGGTATATAATAGACGTACATTTAAGGAAGCTGATGACTTTCACAGGTTTATGTGATGTGCATTTTGATATAATACTCGAGCGCACGCGTCTAACTTAAAATTAAAAATTATTCGTACGAATCTGCCAAGTTTCCTTCAATAGATCAATGAACGATATTACTTGCTTTTTAATGCAGGTATAGTGGTAAAGTAATATGACAGACCAAACAAGACATTCCGGCAAAATTACTCACCTACGTTACAAAAACCTGGTTTCGAAGCCAACAAACATATACAACGCAACCTACAAACTTCCCAGACATTTTCCAATATCCAATATCTTTTTCACGAGTAAGTATAAACCAATTGATTTTTTGGGCTCAGATCTTGCTTCATCAGTACGGTTTAAGTTATTTAATGAAGACTAGTGGATGAGGGTCTAGCTACTCGACTTTCTAATTTCAGTCAGTTGGCAGTTGTTTGTGAGTTTGAAATCACAGGACGTACAAAGGGTGCGTTTGTTTCAGGAAAGCAGGATTTCTGGATATCATGAGCTATCACGTTACCAGGCCGGATATCAGTTAGTTGCAGTGCGGAGAATAATAAGAGCAAGATTTCAAAACAAAGTAAATAAATGGAGAGTTTAGTTTAATAATTTGCAGTGGAGATTGTGCGAGACGACTGAATCGAGCTGAGGAAATGGGATTAATAACAATTAGCAAGATTCGAGACATGCACCAGGCACAGCTGGTCCATAAGCTCCATAATTCGTACGTGATTACGTGTTTATCGAGTTTCTTTTTAGATCTATCCACTGCGGAGGGCTTTGACCTTTTCGGCTGGGAGAGCTTTCTAATTTGTTACAAATACTATGGAGGAAAAACTATAAACCTATGTGTTCGCTTTTCAGTGCGCGATATTTTAAGGGTTGCCTAGATAGGCGTGATAGTGATGCTTCGGCAAAACGCTCACGTTAGGATGGTTTGATGTGCTCATTATGTTGTACCCTATAATCAGATCATCTCTGATTCTCTAATTATTCAGAGATGATAATCCAAAGAGTTGGAGTCTATCTTCATTAGACTTTTTCTTCAACGCTACCATTTATTTCGTTGCTTATTTCTGCACTCGATCAAAGAGATTTATGTCTCATTTAAGGAGAAGGAATACGACGGCGTTGTGAACCTCAAAATATGGGCATGCGTGTTTTAATCAGCATGAAGATTATTTTTGGAGTTATTGCACCAATATGTATTTGTATAAAGCGAAGAGTTGCGTTCGGCTTGTCTGCGTCCCCTGTATTTCGAACTGATGTCTACGTTTCCAGTGGTTAATAAACCGAGATAAGGTTCTGAGGAGACATTACGGAGCGGACTTGGTTTAATTGTGTAACTCGTTTTAGCGACGTTCTAGCACTTGAACTGATGGCATAGTTTGACCAAGATGATGCCTATTCGAAGGACTGCGCATTGCTTGTCCCACTACTCTTTATAAGAGGCAGCCCTACTTTTCGGTAAGCTTGCATCCGACACCGGAATAACAAATAAAATTAATGAATGTAGTCTCACTTCCCTGTCCCTGATTTGCAGCGATTTTTAAGCTGGTTAGTTGGTGTTTCGCCTTCATCCGCCCACCCACTGCTCCGTATTGTTAACGGATACTGGACACTTTACAAGAACAAGTAATTCCGTTAGGGTAATTGGTCCTGATTGCAACTACCTTTGGACCTATTGGATCAATTTTGTGTTGGGCGAATTTGGTTTACTTTGGAGATACGTACGTTTATTGTGGACAGACCTGTGGTTTTGATGCTGCTACTGTATTCATATCAGGGTTTCTGCATAGTGGATAAATATACCGGGATCATGGTAAGGGTGACTAAGTACGAACTATAATACTGTCTAGGCAATTCAGTATCACAGCGACGAAGGACACTTGCATTCAAATGCAGAATCATTGGTTTTAACTGGCAGCAGGAAGGCCATACAGTCGTGCCTTTTAACCGTAGGTTGCGTTGTTGTAGTCCTTGGAGTAGGAATTAAAGGGGTAGCTTCATCTTGATTTCTTTGTTGCAGACCAAGGTGAGGGTTCTGGCTGAATGATCTGAGTTATGCACACTACTCCGACGTTCACTATGATGTGACATTTCCAGTATTTTCACACATCTCGATCGAGACTCAGATGATTGACTCAATACTAACCCCAGAATGCATAGCACCACTAGCTTTCCTAGTTATTATAGTTTAGAAACTGGTAGTAAGGCAATGACCCAACATGTTAATGTGTATACTTAAGGAAGGAAGTTGAGGTGATCTAGATAGAAAAATACAAAAGCTAAGAATTTTCGAAGGCGGAAAATAATAATATTAAAATTGAGTGCAGGAATAGAAACTGAATGCCACCTGATACTGCAACTTACCTTTAACTATCCTCGTAAGCAAATTCGCGTGCGTACAGTAAAGTTTTTATGGGTCTTCTGTTTGAGAGTGAATAAATATGTGTACACTACCGGAACAACTAGGAAGCGAGCAGTTGTCTGAGACAACAAGAGCCATCCCATGATCACCTTTGAAAGAATTGTTACTTTGACTATCTACTAATGGATGGACACAAATGTTGTATCTCAGGAATGTTTCATGTCCCAATCTGATGGCGAAAACTGCATTGTTTCCTGAAAAGAGTGCGACGTCAACGAGAACGTGTTTTTGGTACGCTTATTGCTATTATCAGATCGCATTTATTCTCTTTTACCTCTGCGAAAATAACATCCGTCACTAGACCTTTGACTTATCGGATTTGTTTTGTGCGTCTAATAATCCAATTAAGCTGGATATTCACACCTCTCACGAAGAGAGGAGATGGATAAACATAGTGAAATTCGAAACGAGTTTGTTAGTACATTTTAAACTGTTAAAAGCCATTCGAGCGTGATAAGGCATTTGCTTTAGCTACATGTGTGACGGAATTGTGACTGGTGTCTAAGCTCTTTGCGGTAACTCTTACTGGGTCACGCTTGGACGAGGCTAGAACAGACAGATGTTTAGGGAGTACTTACGAATTTTGTGTGCAACGAAGTCACATGGTAACAACATGAGATTTTCGCTCAATAACTTTCATCTGTCCCAACTGTTAATTAATCACTTGTTGTGGCGTCCTTTCGAAATTTGAATGGTGTGGCATTCCATAGTCTTGAAACACACTCTCGTGCTTAGTGGCTAGAAGCCAAATGCTAAGAGTGAAACATCTTTCCTTCCAATGGACCGGCATATTATGCTGTCACCACCAGTATGTACGACGGTAGGTGAGTTAATACTGTCAGTTAAAATATTGAATAATATTCGTGAACTTGTTAGTTAGGTATGTGCGGTAGATGTATTTTCTAACCTAGCCGTTCACCTTGTTTCCAATAGGTGCAGGTTGGCACTCGACGTCCCGGATCCAATAGCAAAACACAATAATTCTG